ATCAAAATCATGTTTTTCATTTCTTTGTTCATTGTGGCAGTGTGAACGCTGGAGAATAGATTCTTTGAAAGATTATATATCATAAAATGTCGACTTCCCTATGTTGAACTCAGACATTAGTTACAATGGACTTTGACCAGCGTCTAGTCTGTTTAAAATTTAAACTGCAATTTCACGCATTCATTACGCCTCTCCATGTAATGTTAAGAGGTGGACTCTTTGAATATCCGAAAGCGACGATTTCTTGCCTATTTTTGAACGTATAAAAGCTTATTGAAGACTATTCTTTAGAATAACTTCACAACTTTTACACTAGTCAAAATTCTGTGTTATAATGTTTCGAATTTGAAGATTATGTAATATTACTTATAATTATAATTTGTTATATTAACTAAAAATCAATTATGCAATAACTTGCAATAAAATAGAAATGTTGATTTTTGCCACGTCGTTTTAAACTTTGTTCGAGTTTAGATACTTCTTGGACCTTCACATAGGCCGGTATTCTCGCATGACGTCCTGAGTAAGACGATAAACTACATTCACGTCCTGGATATGACGATAAACTACATCTGCGTCCTGGGTAAGACGATAAGCTAAATCTGCGTCATGGGTAAGACGATAAACTACATTCAACAGTAAGACATCTAGGAGGTTTTGAGAAGTGTGGAACCACCCCTTAATTGCTGGTGTTCCGAAGTCCACCCTGACCCTGGGTGGTAGCATCTGTTAGGTTCCCAGCTATGGGCAAATATTTACCCCACTCCCAAACTGGGGTCAAAACACCATGAAAGTGTAAAAATAGCTTCTAATACCAGCAAAACGTTTTTATAAAAAAAATTACCAGCAATAAAGTTTTGAAAAAAATATTACCAGCCATGCATTTTGAAGAAAAATATTACCAGCCATGCATTTTGGAGAAAAATATTACCAGCCATGCATTTTGGGGAAAGATATTACCAGCTATGCATTTTGGGGAAAAATATTACCAGCCATGCATTTTGGAGAAAAATATTACCAGCCATGCATTTTGGGGAAAAATATTACCAGCCATGCATTTTGGGGAAAAATATTACCAGCCATGCATTTTGGAGAAAAATATTACCAGCCATGCATTTTGGAGAAAAAATATTACCAGCAACACATTTTTAAAAAAAATATTACCAACAATACATTTATGAAAAAAATACTACCAGCAATAAAAATATTGTCGGCATTAAATAACCCATTGAGGTTGATAAGCCGTAAAAGAAAACAAACCAGACCAAATCAAACTATTCTCTTATGCATAAAATGGTATGAATTGCAAGTACCTTCCTTCGATATGGTATCCCAGGTACCTTGCACCTGTTTACATAATATAGGAAGAGTTATAAGTGAGTCAACAAAATGAGGCCCTAAACAAACGGGAAAAAGATCTTAAGATCGTGCCAGTCAAGGAATTGCTAAACACTTGCAGAGCATTTTGATTTGGTTTGGTTGGGTTTATTTTACAGTTTATCAACCTCAATGGGTTATTTAATGCCAACAACATTTTTTATTGCTGGTAATATTTTGTTTTGCCAAAAATCTGTTTCTGGTAATATTTTTTGTTCAAAATAGTATTGCTAGTAATAATTTTTTTCAGAAAAGTATTGCTGGTAATAGTTAACTATTTGCCTATAGCTGGGACCTAAACAGGTGCTACCACCCCAGGTCAGGGTGGACCTGGGAACATCAGCAATTAAGAGGTGGTCCCACGCTTCTCAAAACCTCCTGATCAGAGGCCTTGCTGCTGGATGTAGTTTATCATCTTACACAGGACGCGGATGTAGTATAACGTCTTACCCAGGACAACAGAGCATTTTGAGTTGTATGGGTATCATCATGAAGGCAGACATTCTTCTGCTGGAAAATCTCATCGCTTTCCTGTTGCCAGAATTGTAGCAAAACGATTTGAAAAATATACTTTCGTGTCGTAGACGAGTATACTTTGGAAGCACACACAATGTTTCGTTATACTACAGTTTGTTTGTTTTTTAATTGACCCCCTGTTATACTAGTACATTACCTATTCTATTGTAATAGACTCTCCCACACATAATAAGTAGTAGTAAGTAGTAGTAGCGGTCGCCAGTGGGGCTCAGTGAAGATAAGTGAGTCAGTCGATGTCGGACATTGAAGTATCAACCATCACAACCAGATTGTTACGTCATTAACTATTATTGCAAGTTCCTAACGTTTTGTACGTCGAACCTAATTTAGGACGACTTAATGAAATGCAAGCCTTTAACTGTGAAAACTACTTTACAACACCCCCAAAATAGTCGTTTTGTACTCTAAATAAGAGAAAATTATTATACATGGGTAAAAAAGTGAGATATGACTTTTTTATTAGAAATTCTATTATTACAAAAAAAAAAAAAAAGAATTTTATGATTCAATTTTGCTCTCATCAAAATATCCTCCTTTACCCTTGATTACTGCAGCAGTAATTTTTGGCATTCGTGGCAAAAGTTTCTGAAAGTATAATTTTCTTAATTGTTTCTTATTTCAATAACTCTAAGAACACTTCTTCCTTTTTTTTCATTCTAATTCTGGGGATGGCTTCAAACTTTTGAAATGTGGTGTATATGAAAATCAAAAGTCTTTTCATGTTTAAACACTACAGCACTAGGAGACGTCAACATCGTTATATAAGTAAAAGTTTGTTAAGTGCATTCTTCCTACAAATAAACTGTTCCCAGTGGGGCGTGTTGACGCTCCTGGTACCAGATTTGATCTGATTTACTCTGATTGGCTCTGATCTGCGCTGTTAACACCAGCCAGTCTGCCACTGATGCCTTTAAAATACGCGAGATCATAGAGTTTCGTATTACTTTCGCCTCTGAAGTTGATTTTGGAAGATCGAAAGTACTTGGGAAATGAAAATAAAAGAAATTAAAACAGCTATAGCACATTTCTCTCGGTTATTCGTGAGTATGAATGGATTTTGTTAAAAGTTAGCAAACATAATCTGTAATTTATTGAATCCGACATATATATATATATATAATTATTTATTTAAAAATATGATTCCAATGCTACATAAGAGTTCTCATGTTTCAAAACAAGAGCCGAAAATTTGAATTAAATTAAATTAAAGTACCAAGCTCTGTTCCATCTTCAAGCGAATTTTTTTGTAATAACTAATTCCTGAAATTTACGCGTTTTATAAGCATATTCATTATTAAAATTAAAATCACTATGGTAACGGCTAGAGCAATTATTTAAAAAAAAAAGAAGGGGCGTAAGGGTTAATAATTTGTATCAATATCTCAGTTACATTCAAAGAGGTCAAGTCAGAGTAAGGTTAAGGTGTCTAAATTTAAAGCGGAAGATGACATCATCTAGCCTGGTTAAGTGTCTATAGAGATTTATTTATTTTTTATTTTATTTTTATTTTTTTCTGAAAGGGTTTTTGTATATATAAAAAAAAATTCGCTAACATCTGTTTTTTGACTATATATATATATATATATATATATATATATATATATATATATATATATATATATAAACATACTAACCAGAAAATTTTGACTCATTTAGGAAGCGGAAAAAAACAACAGATCTTGATCTCTGTCTGGAGGAATTTCCAAGGAGTACTGCATTTCGGGCTTGTTCTACACAGTTGCATCATCAACGCTAAACTGTATTGCCATCAGCTCGACCACGTGTAGGACAAACTAAAGAAGGAGTATCCTGCTTTGGTCAATCGAGTTCGGGCTTTGTTTCCGCAAGACAATACGAGGCCACACAAGACAGGCTGACTAAGGAGAAGTTCAAACAGATGGACGCTGTTGAGATTCTTCTACGTCCACCATTCAGACCCGATGCTCCGAGTGACTATGGCCTTTTCCGATCAATAGCACACTTTCTCCGCGACCAGAGATTCAACACTTTTGATTAAGTTAAGAAAACTCGTTTACAGTATTTTTGATTCAAAGCAAGCGGACTGGTATCTAGGACAGATTCAGAGTCGGATGCTGGCTGATCGCTGGCAGAAGATCGTCGTGAATGATAGATTTTATTTTGAAAAATAAATGTAGGTGTTGCTCCATAAAATTTTCTTGTTTCCTTTCCGCTTCCTAAGTGAGTCAGGACTTTCTGGGTAATCCCCCCCACATATATATATATATATATATATATATATATATATATATATATATATATTACAAAGAGTTAATCATACATAATTATTAGCATTATACTACTAATAATCCACTGAATGATGAGATCCTTATGTATAAAATGGATATGGTGTATTTTTTAATTCAGCTAGTACTTTCAAAGACCTCTGTCTTCATCATCAGGCTGTATTTTTTTCGTTTAGAATTAAAACTGGAAGACGAAACAAATGTGTTGCAGACGGAAAGATGTTTTTAAGAATGAGCCATTTATTAACAGTTGTGTAATATTGGAGCGTGCAAGTCGCAACGCTAAAGTTCAAATATTTCAAGTGAGAATTTTTATATGAATTTTGTAATTTGGTAAATCCATATATATATATATATATATGTGTGTGTGTGTGTGTATGTGTGTGTGTGTGTGTGTGTGTGCAATGACTGGCTACGTGTTTCTGAATCATATCAATCTGCCAGACGCCCGCTCAAACCACTTGTGGTTCATACTGAGCGGATCTTAGTGTCGGGGAGAGAGAGCATTATCTGGCGTAACCACTGCTTTTGAACAAGGCCAGTACGCTCAAACCTTCGGTCACGATGACTTGTGGCTTTGTGCTAACACATCCATCGACGGCTTGGGTTAACCCGCTGTACGGTTTTCAAGCATTTTCCAAAGCTGTTATTACACCCCACCCCAGGCCAATCAAAAAGTCATCTCCCTGAAAAATCGACCATAGTGAGATTGGAACCCGGGTCTCATGGCCAGAAAACAAACGTTCTAAGCAGTCGGCAACGAAAGAAAAAAGAAGGTATGAAAAATGCAAAAGCTTGACGTTTATAAAGGGGGGCTATCGGCTAGAGAATGGAAAAATTGCTCAAGCCTCCGTGGCACATATTAAAAGTTGAAAGGACAAACGAAAAATAAGAAAGAAAAAAAGGAAAGGAAAAGGTTAAGGATAGAATGAAAGAAAAAAAATGAAAAAAGAAAAATAGGTAAAGAAAGAAAGAAAGAAAGAAAGAAAGAAAGAAAGAAAGAAAAGTGGTATGCGAAGAAAGAAAGAAGAAAAGGAGGCATACAAAAAAGAAAGAAAGCAAAAATAAAAAGAGGTATACAAAGAAAGAAAGAAAGAAAGAAAGAAAGGAAAAAGAAAATGAAGAAAGAAAGAAAGAAAGAAAGAAAGAAAGAAAGAAAAAGAGGCATACAAAGAAAGAAAGGCAGACAGAAAGAAAAAAGAAAGAAACCTGGAAAAAATTAAAGTAAGAAAGAAAAAGAAGCACACAAAGAAAGAAAGAAAGAAAGAAAGAAAGAAAGAAAGAAAAAGAAGCACACAAAGAAAGAAAGAAAGAAAGAAAGAAAGAAAGAAAGAAAGAAAAAGAAGCACACAAAGAAAGAAAGAAAGAAAGAAAGAAAGAAAGAAAGAAAGAAAGAAAGAAAGAAAGAAAAAGAAGCACACAAAGAAAGAAAGAAAGAAAGAAAGAAAGAAAGAAAAAGAAGCACACAAAGAAAGAAAGAAAGAAAGAAAGAAAGAAAGAAAGAAAAAGAAGCACACAAAGAAAGAAAGAAAGAAAGAAAGAAAGAAAAAGAAGCACACAAAGAAAGAAAGAAAAAGAAGCACACAAAGAAAGAAAGAAAGAAAAAGAAGCACACAAAGAAAGAAAGAAAGAAAAAGAAGCACACAAAGAAAGAAAGAAAGAAAGAAAGAAAGGAAGAAAGAAAAAGAAGCACACAAAGAAAGAAAGAAAGAAAGAAAGAAAGAAAAAAAAAGAAGCATACGAAGAAAGAAAGAATGAAAAAGAGGCATACATAGAAAGAAAGAAGAAATGCAAACAGAAAGAAAAAAGAATGAAAGAAAGAAAAAGAAAAAAGACAGAAAGAAAAAGAAGCATGCGAAAAAGAGGCATACTAAGAAAGAAAGAAAGAAAGAAAGAAAGAAATAAAGAAAGAAAGAAACGAAAGAAAGAAGGAAAGAAGGAAGGAAGAAAGGAAGAAAAAAAAAAGAAGCATATGAAAAATGAAATAACTATTATTTTATTTCGAATTGATATTGACGATTCCACATGCCGAGTTGTCAGAGCGTAACGAAATGCCTTTTATTCATGTCACAAGTTTGTAACACAACAGCTAAGTAAGCAAAGAGATTCGAAATTGTATATATGCCTCTGTGAGACGGCCATGGCAAACATATCTTTACAATAGCTTAATATGACAAAAACCTAAAAGCGGAGTAGTACCCCTAGCAAAGATCGAATTCACCACATTACAGCAATGTTGGTCGGGTTAGGTAGCTACAGTTTCTGAGAGAAAGTGCGTAAATCAATGTTTTTGAACAAGGCTAACACGCTAAAACCCTCGGTCACGATGACTTAAGACTTTGTGTTAGCACACCCATCGACTGCTTCAGAATAGTTCTCTCTACCCAACTCTCAACACTTGTGTTCTCAGGCATTCTCACTATAATCAGCTCCCTGACAAATCGGCCATGGTGAGATTCGAACCCAGGTTTCATATCCAGAAAAGAACTGGGTACCCAAGGAGGGTCGAATTTCTAAATGTGTCTGTGAGACGGTCTTGGTAACCATAGTTTTCAGTCAGTCAGTTATGTGCCATGCGTGATACACGCTTAGGTGATCATGTATCTTTCGAGGCATATTTTTACCCGCAGTAGGTTGCCATTTCTTTCTGCGGTAGACCAGTTTCCATCCATATAGAACCAGTCTGTCCTGCTATTTACCCATAGCTGGGGGGAGAAGAGGAGGATTCATACTTTTCGTAAGTAAGTGAATGTAATGGATTCGACTGAAATTTGAACTCGGCTCTCCGAATTCTTCAATCCGAGCCGATAACCGTTGCTCCACCATAGCTTAATATAACGGAAATCTAGAAGCGAAGTACTCCTGGCGAAGATCGAACTCACTACGCTTGCCAGGCGTTCTTTCTTGCCGTTGACATACCTCTCTTCACACTCTTGTTATCAATCTTAATTTCGCTCTGTTTAAAACAAAATAGCCGACAGCCCCGAATCGGAATTTTCACGAGTTTCTATTACGACTTCATCCGATGTTAGCGATTCACTCGATACATGATAAAAGCCAAACCCATCCCACTGGCATCAATCACAGCCCCTCCAGTGTCCATAGCTTCAATCTGAACCTTTCGGCTTCTCCCTGCAGTGCAACTTAAAGTGATCTGAATTGTCATTACTTGCCGGCTAGGTAGGGTTACGCTTATTTAACCGGCAGGCGATTAGCATAACAGGCAAGGGATGGTCGCCGACAGGTCACACACTCCTACACCCCATGACCAAGCATCAATTTAGTGACTCAGTCCGCTGGCTATGAAGCAAAAAGACCCTATGAATGCACCTACCTTGAGCTCCGAGTACGGAAACTATTGATTATAGCCAAAAGCAACATACTTCCCGCTCTGCTATATCCCGTCTGTACGTATTTAACCCTTCGGCAATGTCCGGACATTTCCGGTTAAGAAAGTGAACACCGGTGGACATAATGAATTTACGTGGCACTAAAATGCGTTTAAGAGAAAGAAGGGAAAATATAATTTTTTTCTTTCTCTATACCCCTCTCTCTCTCTCTCTCTCTCTCTCTCTCTCTCTCTCTTTTGCAAGCTGGCCATATCTATCTATCTATCTATCTATCTATCTATCTATCTATCTATCTATCTATCTATCTATCTATCTATCTCATTCTTTTCATATCTATCTATCTATTCATTTTTCATATCTATCTATCTATCTCATTCTTTTCATATCTATCTATCTCATTCTTTTCATATCTATCTATCTATCTATCTATCTATCTATCTATCTATCTCATTCTTTTCATATCTATCTATATATCTATCTCATTCTTTTCATATATGCCTATTTATTTATCTATGTATCCATCTGTCTGTCTATTCCATTCTCTTCATATCTATCTATCTATCTATCTATCTATCTATCTATCTATCTATCTATCTATCTATGTATCCTACAGTGTCGACAAATGAAACTATGGTCACTAGCAAAATATTTAATATTTTTTATACTGAAATTGAAATCTACGCAAGTGATGCTTTCTAATATAAAATAAACATTTTTATACTATTTCTCGCCTAATACAAGGCTCAAGAGCCATTCACGGCACGGTAGAGGGTTACTGATTAATGAAAGTAAGTAGTGCTTAATTTGAGGATCTGTAGGATAGATGAAGGTTGATCATAGACTTGTCGAAGTTAAGCTTGTAGTGATGGAGAATGCATCCTACAGGGAGTCTGTTCCTAAAAGTGTCAGTCCTTAGGAAGAAGGTCAGTGGAACTTCCTCCTTATAAATGGAATACGCAGTGAATGCGGATGAGTCGACCATGTCTAGGGGGCAGGGTAGGTGCTAGCTATGAAGGTGGAACTAAGAAATGTAGCACATCTAATCGTCTGCCATGAAAAATAGAAAAATAGAATAAGAGAGGCTTGCAACGCTTCGTCTGAGGGAAAGTAGTTGTAAGGTGGAAAATAATGCATTGCAGACTAAGCTGCATAAAGGCATATACATTCTGTCAAGGCTGGAAAGTGAGGACTGGGAAGTTTTTATTATATTGCTGCTATAAAATAAAGGGGATGCAGAATTAATTTTAACTCGGAAAAATTTTAAAAATTATCTCCAACTCATTGCATTTTGCTTAGAAATTCACGGAAATTGATAATTATGATTTTAAATCGAGTTGAAATTAGTTCCAAGTTGAAATTAGTTCCGCTTTAGGAGCAGGGAACCACCTCTTAATTGCTGGTGTTTCCAGGTCTACCCTGACCTGGGGTGGTAAAACCTGTCGTGGTCATATCTATGGGCAAGTGGTTGACCCCCCCCCTTTAAAAAAAGGGGTCAAAACACTATGAATGTATGAAAATAGGATTTAATACCAGCAAAACTTTTCAGGAAAAATTATTACCAGTAGGACATTTTTGAAAAAAGATATTACCAGCCATAGATTTTTGGAAAAAAAAATTATTACCAGCTATACCTGTTTTTCTTTCTTTTTTTTTTTTTTTTTTTGAAAAAAAAAAAAACATTATTACCCGCAATACATTTCTGGAAAAAAAAATTTTAAAAATATTTTCACCAGCTGTACATTTTTGGCAAAAAAAAATATTACCAACAATACATTTTTGAAAAGAAAATTATTACTAGCTATACATATTTGGAGAAAAAAAAATTAATACTAGCAATACATTTCTTAAAAAAAAAATTATTACCGAAATTATTTTCGAAAAAAATATTACCAGCTATACATTTTTCGAAAAAAAAACATTAATACCAGCTATATATTTTAAAAAAAAAATATTACCAGCAATACATTTTTAGGAAAAAAATTGTTACCAGCAATATAATTTTGGAAAAAAAAATGTTGCCGGCAATACATTTTTGAAAAAAAATACTACCTGAAATCGAGATCTTGTTGGCATTAAATGGCCCATTGTGGTTGGTATGCCGTAAAACAAAACAAAACCAAACCTACAAAAAGCACAGATAAGCTATAACCTAGGTTTTCCGCAGATTCGTTAAAAAAGGAGCATACCATAATGGAAAAAAATCGCCCAAATTTAATAAAACACAGTTTTATCCTTCTGTTATTATTAAGAAGACATATCAAAGGAGGTTTTGATTATTCAATTATTTTTTTATCCCTTTTAGAACGTTAAAAATTGTTTTTCTTATGTCAGCGTTGAATCAAACATGACTATAAGAAATTAAAATTTTAGAATTTTGGGGCCTTGAAAATCACATTGATTATGAAATTCTTGCAAAAATCAAATCATTGTTAGATTTCAAAGAAACTTTTAGGACTTATTCGCGAATGAATTCAAATATTTCAGAAACTTTATTTTTTAGAAAATCTTGGCAGAAACTATTTTTTAACATCTTTAAACACATATGTATGGAGGGATGCATAGATAGATATAGATATTGTGGACATAAGGATCAACGCAGCATTGTGTCTGTCAGTAACACGTTTCGCACACGTTCTGAAAATCCGATTGAAGCGTAAAACTGACTGTCATCATTCAGTGTTGATTCCAAGGTCCACACTCGATCACTAGATGCTCCATCTCCGATATAGAGCAGTCTTGGCATATAATTATAACAAACTCTAAACAATATTTTAAAACACACATACACACACACACACACACACACCACCACCACCACCACCACCAATTTTTAAAAAAAAGTAAACCAGTTTGTCTGATGATCGCAAAAGCGTGGAACACAGGGTCACAAACTCATATCCATACAACTGAATATGTCAGCTCTATCACTGATATTGAGCGCTTTCCGCTAAGTACTGCTCATATAAAATAATATATATATAGAAAAAAAAAAAAATACATATATATATATATATATATATATATATATATATATATATATATATATATATATATAAATGAATCTAAAATTATATTTAAATATATTGCACAGTTATGCGAGTGAAAGACACAGTGCTCGATTTAAAAGAACAGCATATAATATATATATATATATATATATATATATATATATATATTTTATCACACATACCTGATAATTGCCTCACCGATCAAACATTGCGTAGCGTCGTGTGGTATGGACCAACAATATAATTTTAATCTCACTCTCTCTCTCTCTCTCTCTCTCTCTCTCTCTCTCTCTCTCTCTCTCTCTCTATATATATATATATATATATATATATATATATATATATATATATACTGCAGACATAATGTTTGGGGAAACCCTGCCCATGCATTTCTGAAAACTTAAAATGAGATATTGTTGTATTTTTTAAAGGAAAATATAAAATTTACCTACAGTGTATTTACTTTTATTTTGAAAACAACTAAGCACTTAAACTAAAACTTAAATAAAAGTTTATTATGATACAACAGCGACGTATTTTGTTTTCGTCAAAACAACCACCACCTGCCTTAGTTACTGCTTTAAAATTTGTTGATATTCTTTCGTAAAAACTGTTGACAAATCTTCCCAAGCATTCTTCAAGCATTTGAAAAGCTCACTCTCACTCTTAGGTTATTCTCTTAGAAATCACCTAACCAATTCAGTCTATATTAATTCAATAGGAGAGAGGTCAGGTGATTGAGACTCCAAGTCATAATTTGAAAATGTAATAATTTTCACATAACTTGGAAGAGTGTTTTGAATTGTTGGCTTGTTGAAAAGGTGATTTTTTTTCCAGTTATGTGTAAACCAGACGATATAACGTGTCTTTTTCATGATTCCCTTGACCTGAATTAAATCACCAGCCCTTTTTGGTAATATCAAAAAGTCTACTGAGAGCTTAATGCTGAAAAAAAATATATAATGTTTCTCATGCAAAATATTCATAGTTTAGTCAAATGTATTGTAGACAGATGAATCCAAGTTTGAACATTTTGATAGGAAGAGAAGCCTGTAGAAAGTTTGAAAAATAAAATAGAATAAAATAAAATACAAAGCAAATAAAAGTAAATACAGTGTAATTACTGAAATGTTTGCTTTTCGTTAGAAAAATACAACAATATCTTAAGGTGTTTTTAAACAAAAGCAGGAGATACCCGTACTTCTTGCCTGTAATCTATATCTATCAATCTATCAATTATATATATATATATATATATATATATATATATATATATATATATATATATAGATTATCACAAAATTTCATAACTGAATCAACTAAGCTGTCAGATCCTCATACGTCGAAACCGACGGGAGATATATGTGTGTGTGTGTGTGTGCGTGTGTATGTGTGTGTATGTGTGTGTGTGAGGAAAGTGCCATTTAAATTACTTAACAAATTACGCAGTACTTATTTTAATTAACCGCTTTACTTAGAGCGATTAGTTCAGTACGTAAGTAAATATAAAAACAGCTGGTAATGATGTAATTAACAGATGGATATAAAAAGCAGTGTTGGTTATTTACGGCTAAGTTGTTTAAATAATTTACTGACTATTGTTTGCATCATGTAGCAATAATTCTTTATTCCCTTTATCCCTTCTGATGGCGGTGGTGGAGATGGCTGTGAATACCACACCTATTCCTGAAGAGTTGCGAGCAAGAGTCACAGAGGAGTGTGGGTGGTGGACGCGGCTGGGCGAGTCGTGCCCTCCTAACGGCATCTTCTCAGATCCTCTTCATGTTGACGGTTGGTCTCAAAAATCTCCTACGCCAAGAAGGCCAATGTGCAGCAAGGGTTTCCCAGGTCTCAGGGCCGATGTTGGCCTGTGTCAAGGATGTCTCCAACTGATCCTTGAAGCGTTTTTTGGGGGCCTCCGCGTAGCTTCTTGCCGCTGGCGGGCACTCCAAACAGAATGATACGTCGGAGTCGAGTGGGACGCATTCTGGAAACGTGATGCACCCAGTGGAGACGAATTGTAATTTAAATGATGCACTAAAACAAAGTAACCAAGCAATCGTTTTAAGTTCTCTGAACATCA